ATTTTTGACGTAAATTTTTGTTGCGATAATTTTGTTGCCCAGTGTATCTCTTGAAACTTTTTTACGTAACAATTAAAAAAAAAAACACATAATTTAAAAGTTATTCAAGATATACAAATTAGGAGTCCCATCCTATGTGCATATACTTTTTGCATGCACTATATGCTAAAGAAAAATGACGGGTTTCTTCTATAGTACAGTATTTAATTCATTTAATTATGTCTATTCTATTTAATTCATTTAATTATGTCTATTTAATTATGTCTATTCTTACAAAATAACAATAATGTAATTTCAGCAACATTCCGATTGCTACCCTGTTGAGCGAAAGAGTGTCTTTCTTCCGGCATCCACTTACCTTCTCGTAAAGCCAAAAAGCGCTCTTCTCACCCACACTGAGGCCGGACTTGGTAAAATCCTTTATCCCTTTGAATTGCGTGAAGACGAACTCGCTGGCCCGGTTGGAGTAGAACACCTGCGGTTGGCCGGAAATCGGCGTCATCGGTAGCGGCGTTTGCCCGTACGGCGTTGAAACGTAGCCCATACCGGTTGCTGGCTGCGGATAGTACTGTCCGGGAACCGGAAGCAAAATCTTTGGCCTGGGCGGCATCGTTCGCAATCGCGATGAGTTCGACATGTTTGCGACCGATTTTGCGACGCGACTGTCTCGAAGTACAAGACGAAGTACTACAAGCGAAACACTTAAGCGAGACACGTGTGTTTTGGTACCTTACGTGTTATCGGGTATACGATTTTCCGCGATCGATCCTCCCTTACTCGTCCAAGATCCACAGGGAGTTACGGGGAGAAATTTTCGTCCGATACTCTCGTAGAACAAATACCCGAGGAACACATTGTTCCGACTGCATTTAAATTGCCCCGGGGAACACTTTGCGATTCAGTGTTCTACACGTTTACAGTCGCTGGTTAAACAATTCAACGTAATAATCAGCGATAATCGACTCTGCGATTTGCGTGCAATTTACGGGAATTAAAGATCCCCAGTGTTCACGAGACAGATCACACAACATTCATGGCAACGCACATGTGTATGATTTGCACTACATAAACGTATCGGCGTCTGGTATGTCACTTTGTCTTCTTTTTGTCCCGTCCGCTATTTTCCGCAGATCCATGAATTTTATTTGAGTGCAGATATAAATAGACGGACAGACGGAAGAATGTTGGCAAGCTCCTAGAGCAGGATTCCGTGGAAGAGATTTATCTTGAAAAGCAACCGCGTGTCTCTTTGCGAAATATACGAAAGAGGTCATTCGTGGCTTCTTAAACGACCTAAACGATCATAAAGAACCATTAATATATCGCTATATAATATATCACGCTAAAGAACTATAATTTGATTAAGATATGTAATAAAAAAAAGTTACTGGAGAGCGAATTGAAAGTAATAAACCGAGCGCTTCAATAAACTTTTATTGAGAAGGTTTTATTTCCAATTTGAAATATTAACAATGAGGGTCACAGAATATTCTACTTTATAAAGCACTTTCAATAATTTAATATTATCCATTTCAATATTATACAATTTAATGTTACAATGTCTACAAAATGTCACAATAAAATACTATTTTAACTTAATTCAATTTAAATTTAACCCTTAAATGCCCCCTGGGGCAAGTGTACAACCGGGTAGGTCAATCACTCAACTATCATCAATGGGAGCATGAACTCCATTTTTGGCAAGAACATTTGAAAATATATCATTGTAAAGGGTCTGGGGTCCGCTGGACCCTTTACAATGATATATTTTCAAATGTTCTTGCCAAAAATGGAGTTCATGCTCCCATTGATGATAGTTGAGTGATTGACCTACCCGGTTGTACACTTGCCCCAGGGGGCATTTAAGGGTTAAATTTAAATTGAATTAAGTTAAAATAGTATTTTATTGTGACATTTTGTAGACATTGTAACATTAAATTGTATAATATTGAAATGGATAATATTAAATTATTGAAAGTGCTTTATAAAGTAGAATATTCTGTGACCCTCATTGTTAATATTTCAAATTGGAAATAAAACCTTCTCAATAAAAGTTTATTGAAGCGCTCGGTTTATTACTTTCAATTCGCTCTCCAGTAACTTTTTTTTATTACATATCTTAATCAAATTATAGTTCTTTAGCGTGATATATTATATAGCGATATATTAATGGTTCTTTATGATCGTTTAGGTCGTTTAAGAAGCCACGAATGACCTCTTTCGTATATTTCGCAAAGAGACACGCGGTTGCTTTTCAAGATAAATCTCTTCCACGGAATCCTGCTCTAGGAGCTTGCCAACATTCTTCCGTCTGTCCGTCTATTTATATCTGCACTCAAATAAAATTCATGGATCTGCGGAAAATAGCGGACGGGACAAAAAGAAGACAAAGTGACATACCAGACGCCGATACGTTTATGTAGTGCAAATCATACACATGTGCGTTGCCATGAATGTTGTGTGATCTGTCTCGTGAACACTGGGGATCTTTAATTCCCGTAAATTGCACGCAAATCGCAGAGTCGATTATCGCTGATTATTACGTTGAATTGTTTAACCAGCGACTGTAAACGTGTAGAACACTGAATCGCAAAGTGTTCCCCGGGGCAATTTAAATGCAGTCGGAACAATGTGTTCCTCGGGTATTTGTTCTACGAGAGTATCGGACGAAAATTTCTCCCCGTAACTCCCTGTGGATCTTGGACGAGTAAGGGAGGATCGATCGCGGAAAATCGTATACCCGATAACACGTAAGGTACCAAAACACACGTGTCTCGCTTAAGTGTTTCGCTTGTAGTACTTCGTCTTGTACTTCGAGACAGTCGCGTCGCAAAATCGGTCGCAAACATGTCGAACTCACCGCGATTGCGAACGATGCCGCCCAGGCCAAAGATTTTGCTTCCGGTTCCCGGACAGTACTATCCGCAGCCAGCAACCGGTATGGGCTACGTTTCAACGCCGTACGGGCAAACGCCGCTACCGATGACGCCGATTTCCGGCCAACCGCAGGTGTTCTACTCCAACCGGGCCAGCGAGTTCGTCTTCACGCAATTCAAAGGGATAAAGGATTTTACCAAGTCCGGCCTCAGTGTGGGTGAGAAGAGCGCTTTTTGGCTTTACGAGAAGGTAAGTGGATGCCGGAAGAAAGACACTCTTTCGCTCAACAGGGTAGCAATCGGAATGTTGCTGAAATTACATTATTGTTATTTTGTAAGAATAGACATAATTAAATAGACATAATTAAATGAATTAAATAGAATAGACATAATTAAATGAATTAAATACTGTACTATAGAAGAAACCCGTCATTTTTCTTTAGCATATAGTGCATGCAAAAAGTATATGCACATAGGATGGGACTCCTAATTTGTATATCTTGAATAACTTTTAAATTATGTGTTCTTTTTTTAATTGTTACGTACAAAAGTTTCAAGAGATACACTGGGCAACAAAATTATCGCAACAAAAATTTACGTCAAAAATTTGCCCAACTTCAAATAAGCATAACTCCGCGAAAAATTGTCATATCTGAAAGTT